ATGGGGGTTATATGAGTGCGTCTGTTAGTAAATGTTAGTATGCGTGCAGCAGAGTTTTGTAGTCGTTGAAGCCTGTTAATTTGGATTTTAGGAATGTTAAATAAAAGAGAGTTGCAATAGCCATGACGTTCTTACTTTCCCAAAGAATTGCTTAATTATTCAGTAATTAGCCAATGCTGATACACTCAATGCATGTGTAATCATTAGCATATTCTTTTCTAGATATGAATTGTCTGTGAGATAAATGTCCCATTCTCTTATTGTTTTTTTTTTGCAAGTCAAACTATTAAGAAAAATTGTACATTTATTAATAATTGTTCATGTAGTTATAACTGCTCAAAGTTATTACGTAACCAGCAATATTAAAAGTGTTGAACTAACTGATACTTCTTTTTTCAATAAGCATGCATCGAAAAAAGCAGTTCCCACGCCTATGCATGAGATATGTTATACTGCTGTCTTGTGTTTGTATTTACCTCCTTATCATGGCTATGCTTTTTGCAGTTTTATCAGTGCTAAGAAACAATTCAAATCTCAAGTTGCAATGACGTAGGCCCGTATAGGTTTCTCCACCCCTCTCAAAACTTTGCAAAACATTCTACGCCGCATGGTCCTATCTATAATTTCTGAGATTGATTTGATTTGATTTGAATACCTCATATGACCAAATCCATTTCCCCAACACAAACTGCCTTTTAATCCTCAGTTTTCGTCTTTACTTTACAGATGTCGTCTGTTGAAAATCATTTAAATAAGCTCGCATTTACCATGAAGGATGTACCGGTAAACATGCGGTTGTTTTCCCTCTGTATGAGATCTCTCTATGCGGAAAAAGCGCTTGGCGAATCGTCAGATACCGCAAAGAAGATCAACAAGATACGAGATGACACCAGGAAAGATGCCTTGGTCTATGTCAAATATGTTCTGCCAGCATCTACTGAGTTGGTGAGAAACCTCAAAGAGTTCTTCGAGTATTACGAAAATCTTAGTCTTGAGGACTGGAGAGAATATCTCCCTCGCATCTTGGAGGAAGTAAGAGGCTACAAGCAATGCTGTGTGGAAATTATCAACCTGCATGAGAAAATTATGATCCCATTAAAGAAGAGAGAGGATGAAGCAAAGGTACTCATTGAAGAACTAAAGAACTTGACGGAGGTATTAAAGAGGAAAAAAGCAGAACTTGAAAAGTCTGCTTCTACCAAAAAATCCTGGGCGACTTGGCTTGCTTTTGTTCCAGGTGTAGATGCAATTGCAGTACCATTACTAAAAATGAGGGCTGATAGTGATTTGGCGGAGTCGGTGGCGAAAGAAGCTCAATGCTCTATCAATGAGTCATCAATTGTTGTGGTGAGTAAGACCATGATTCCGGCTCTAGCGGCATTCATTGAGGGTTTGGAGGGTATCGCTGGTTTTTTCCAAGTTGTTGAACAAGAGATCACTACATTTCAAAACAAAGGGGAAAAGGCTTTGGAGAAACCCATAGAGATGCACTACAAGATGATGGAAAGTAAAGCAAAGGAGATTAAGCAACGTTGTACAGAGTTCTTCGCCATGATACCTGGGGTAAGAACCGACTTTCTTTGCATTCCAGAGACTGGAAGGGATAAGAATTACGTCGAGATATGGCTGAAAAAACAACAGGAGGAGATCGAAAAGAGGTACGCAAAAAGTTTTACTGGACAGTTAAGAAAACTGTTGACGAATTTATCAACCGATGAAGGGGAAAAGCTAATGACTAAAGGAAAGGATTAGACAAACTTCACACAGAAAATTGGTTATGGTGTTCGTTTCTGCTTACATAATAACATTACCTTCATTTTTGTAATTAATGATAGTGTATAACCTTCATTAGGAATCTAAATAATCGTTGTTCACTTTTTACTCCTAGAGACTTTCGTCTGCATGGAAAATTTAATAATTAATATAATTTTAATTTGATCCTGCGTGTTGATTGTAAACATAATTGAGACACATTTGCAATATTTGGTTAAGTAGTTTTTAGGTAACTGCTGCATTTATCTTTGGCTAAATCCTCTGTAAATTAAAGGTAGATTGTGGATCGCTGTTCTTCAGTTATCCAATTCTAAAACCTGTTTTTTCTTAAAATGTTTTGAGGCATGTAAAATTGTTTTATTTTATACATATAATGCCTCTCTAGGACTTATCGCACATGGAAACCTCTAACTCTTCTACACTCTGCAAACTTTGGACCAGTGGTGAGGCGGTAGGAGTGCCGGGGACTGGGCCTCAACTGGCCCCGGTGACAAGCATCTGATAAACAAATAACCACCCATCCGCTAAAGCCGACCTTGCAGGGCCCAGTGAAGCGGCTATAGTATTGATATTAAACTTGCAGTCACTAAACCAGACGGATCCCATGTACTCTTTAGGGCCCATCTTGATATCCAGACGAGCCCCTTCTTTAATCTGCCGAGTCTGGCTTCTCTCCACAACTTAGTATTATATTAAGGCAGTCAGTCCAGCCAATGTACGTCAAATGACCCCATACACTGTTTAAAGCCCCTTGGAATCATCAAATGGATTCTTGAATTGAATAGGAAGTCGGACCCACTCAAAAAATAGAAAAATTTAATTGATAGTCCGTACTTTTTGTGACCCTTGCTATTCATCTTGACAATTAATGGGCCCACAAAATGGGTACTAAATATATAATATAAATCAAGAGTGTATTTCTGCCATCTCGTGGCGCAATGGTCGGGGGTGGGGCAGTGTAAGTCGTGAAGGATAGGAGTTTTTGTGTTAGACATGGCTCGACCGTGTGACCAGTCTGGCAGCAGAGTTCTTAATTCGCAGCAGCCCCCATCGCATGATGAACCATAATGTAAAGAACAAGTAATCAATATAAAAGTCAGATATATCCGAATTTGATTTATTTGTAAACTTAAAGGAAGGTATATGAAGCTTGATATAGTGTATCCTACAATCATGTGTATATAGAACGGATGAATTTCCCCAAATATCACACCAATATAAGCAAACATGAAGTTATCTTCGAACTCATGGTTTGTTAAGCTGCCTCTTTTGTTACAATTCAGAAAGAATTGTATAAGGATTAAGAAGAAATGTAAGTAATTACAGTTACTATTACAATGTAATTCCTTAGTTGTAAAGGTACTCTATTAGCTCATACTGAATACTGTAGTAAAATAAATTAGATATGCTTTTCTAATTGTTATGGCTTGATTAACAATTGATTGAAGTCTAATTGTTGAATTAGATGCACATATGAATACAGAAGGTGTTCTACTTAAAATATTCTAATGTCTATTTATATTCTTTAGTTAGTATTTCTATTATATTTAGTCTGCATTTTATTAAGCATTACTTTACCTATAGTATTGGTATAAGTAACCTATTGTAATCTCATAAGATAATAAGGATTACATGTGTGGCTGGTTTAAGATGGCCGCCATTAGTATTGTATTAAGATTTAATGATTAGGAAAGCTCACCATATGGTGGCGCTGTTTTATACTTTCCAATAGGTGGCGCTGTTTGTTATTGTTTGATGGTGCCCAATAGGTGGCGTCCCATATCTTAGATCAGGTGACATGAATATTAATTACGTGTTTATGTTCTCATATTTTTATGTTTATTATGTCTTACACTATGTCATTATTACTTCTATAGATTATATTAACTACTCTACGTATATGGTAAATCCTGAACAGAATACACTGTGTAATTGCCACAAACTGGTGAGTGGTTATAATTAAGTGACCATTATATTTAAGCTATTTTATATTATCCTTTTTATGTAACCGAATACTATGTTGAATATTATAAACACTAGAATGATGTCATGTAATGTGGTTATCATAATTGACTATGCACGGATCTTCTGTTTACGATTACATTTAGCACAGTCTCAAGTGCTCTGGTGTTGATGTTAAACTGTACTATGATGTTAAATTGTAAAATGTTAGATTAATTAATGATTTCTATGCCTATGGTATTTGTATGGGCAGGTGGTGTTATTTTGATATATCTCTTTTACAGAGGCTGTTTACTAGATGCTGTTTTTTACATAAATAAATACGAGTGAACTTTATTTGAGATGTACTGTCTGTTATTGACGTGTCGACCGCTACCCCACACTTTATAGCTTGGGAGGCCAACTACAGCCTGTCCCAGTATAAATATTATTTAAACTTTCTTATTCTTATTACAGTAAATACTAGCGCCTATTATGTGTGTATATAAAGTACATGGGATACATATTCTTCTTTCCATGAATCGATGAACCACAAAGAGGATGGGACACCCCCCCCCCCACCAACGAAAAATAAAACAAATCCGCCAATGTCAATTGCGAGAAATAACTCGGTCGGGGACTGCATAAACACTCTCTTTCCCTCCCTCTCTTTCTTCCCTCTTTCTTTCCTTGCATTTCTTTCCGATTATACAAAAATCTCCATATAGTTTTTTTTTTCTTTGGAGGTCAAAATTACGCTAAATTAAGATAATTTTTTCTAAAATTATACCAGCACATATACTACATGCTAAATGGGTCTAAATTATGCCAAAAAGCATAATTATGCTAGGTCTGGTGACTATGTTGCTCGCTAGCCTGATCACTCAGACTGACACAAGCTTGAAAACAGCGCATGCGCAAAATGATTATGCATAATTTTACCAAATTATCCTACGTTACTAAATATTATAATATAAATCAAGAGTGTATTTCTGCTATCTCGTGGCGCAATGGTCGGGGGTGGGGCAGTGTAAGTCGTGAAGGATAGGAGTTTTTGTGTTAGACATGGCTCGACCGTGTGACCAGTCTGGCAGCAGAGTTCTTAATTCGCAGCAGCCCCCATTGCATGATGAACCATAACGTAAAGAACAAGTAATCAATATCAAAGTCAGATATATCTGAATTTGATTTATTCGTAAACTTAAAGGAATGTATATTGAGCTCGATATAGAACGGATGAATCTTCCCAAGTATTACACCAATAAGCAAACATGAACTTATCTTCGAACTGTCATGGATGGGATATCATTTCTTTGTAAAGAACGGAAATCACGTATTATCGTTTGTCCACAGGAAATACAGTGCCGTCAAGTTCAAAGCCCCAATCTGAGTTTAAATTTTAAAATTTTCAGTCATGAATTTCAGAATGAGTCTAATATATTATATCTCTTATACAACAAACCTTGATAATGCCAGTTTCTAGTCCAGGTCTCCTAAGGAAAAGCCACAAAAATGTGTTTTTGGTTTCTATTAAAGGAACCTTTGCATTCGACAGGGTGTCATGATCTTCATGGTGCGCCTGTGTGTGTACGCTACTTTCCAAAAGTTTGTAAACATGCGAAAAAGACTTTCCAGAAATCTGTTCGTTTTATATATATATATATATATATTTACTCAAGCAAAATTGGATGTGAAGTCGTGCCCTATTTATTGGTCATTTTTTTTTATTTTGACAAATATTAAAGCCATAACTAAAGACAGAAAATACCCCCTACCCCTAAAAAACTACAAACCGTATGGTAAGACACTGGAATGTTGATGAATTTTCGGTATCGCCACTGTTGTCTAAAATGTGATGTATGCGACTCTAGGGACTATCATGGACACATCTTATTTCTGGAAGCTAGCCAAAACGGTAGTACGGACAAGAAACATTATCTACACTCTGAAAACTTCAAGATAATGTATTCGTCATAAAAACTACTGTTTTTATTTTTGGAAGTCTCATTTATTGTTCAATGGCTGATTTGGTTGATAATTATTAATTAAGAAGCGATCGGTATTGTGTGTAATTTTTTTTCATTTCATTTCATTTTTCATTTTATTTTATTTCACACAACGAAAAAATACAATATAAAATTCTTCAGAAAGGTAAATAAATAACAAGGGCAATTTAATCAAATTAAGTAATATTAACAAATTATTAAATTACAATAAATTATAGTAAGTGAAGATACAGTAATTAATAAAGTAATAATTAAAATGATAATAGTAATAATAAAAATAAAAATAATAATAATAATACAATTTTTAGTAATAATAATGATGATAATAGTAATAATAATTAATAATAATAATAATAATAATAATAATTTATAATAATAAAATTTATAGCAATAATAATGATAAAAATGATGATGATGATAATAGTAAATATAACAATAACAACAACAACAATAACAACAACAATAACAATAACAACAACAATAATAACAACAATAACAACAATAACAATAATAACAATAACAATAACAACAATAACAATAACAACAATAACAATAACAACAATAATAATAACAACAATAATAATAACAACAATAATAATAACAATAATAATAATAATAATAATAATAATAATAATAACAATAATAATAATAATAATAATAATAATAATAATAATAATAATAATAATAATAATAATAATAATAATAATAGAAAGGTTGTGTGCAGAGGACACAATAAGCCATTAAGGTTTTGAGTCTGTGCCTCCAATTACTTTAAGCTAAGTAGTATTGAGAGTGAAAGAAGGCCTAAATTAATCAGAACTGTAAGGTTAATTACAAGGAGAGTGTAATATTCTTCAGAAAGGTAAATAAATAACAAGGGCAATTTAATCAAATTAAGTAATATTAACAAATTATTAAATTACAATAAATTATAGTAATTGAAGATACAGTAATTAATAAAGTAATAATAATAATAAAAATGATAATAGTAATAATAAAAATAAAAAAAATAATAATAATAATATTAAAATTTTTAGTAATAATAATGATGATAATAGTAATAATAATTAATAATAATAATAATAATAATTTATAATAATAAAATTTATAGCAATAATAATGATAAAAATGATGATGATAATAATAGTAAATATAACAATAACAACAAAAACAACAACAACAATAACAACAACAATAACAACAACAACAAGAACAATAACAACAACAATAACAATAACAACAATAATAACTACAATAATAACAACAATAATAACAACAATAACAATAACAACAATAACAATAACAATATTATAACAACAATAACAATAACAATAACAACAATAATAATAATAACAAAAATAATAATAACAACAATAATAACAATAATAATATTAATAATAATAATAATAATAATAATAATAATAATAATAATAATAATAATAATAATAATAATAATAATAATAATAATAAAAAGGTTGTGTGCGGAGGACACAATAAGCCATTAAGGTTTTGAGTCTGTGCCTCCAATTACCTTAAGCTAATTAGTGTTGAGAGTGAATGAAGGCCTAAATTAATCAGAACTGTAAGGATAATTGCAAGGAGAGTGTAATATTTATAAAATAAGAAGTGATAGAAAAGATAAATTAATAATAATAATTTTATTTGTAATTAAAACAAGAGGTCGTGAAACAAAAATAAAAAATGCAAGTAATAATAAAGCAAGTAATAATAAAAGGCCAAAAATAATAATATAAAAGGCCGATAAAATAAGTGAAAAAGTACTAACAGCATCAAAACAGAACAAAGATAATAAATAATAAAAGAGAAAATATTATTAAATTATGTAATTTTGAACTAGAATGTTTTTGTATCTATGTTTAAAGGAGTTACTATTAGGAACTTCCTTGAGTTCAGATGGCAGATTATTCCACAGATATGGTCCGGTGTAAATAAAGGATGTTCTTCTTAGAGAGGTGGATGTCTCTCGTAAATTAAATTTTTTGCAGTTGCAGATCTGGTATTATAAGAATGTTGTTGACTAAAACTTTTAAAATATGAATAAAATTGAGACGGAAGTTGATTATTGCTTAAACGGAACATAAACAATGCAGTCTGGAGTTTATATCAAAAATATTTAGAGTATTAAACGAATAATACAATTGTTTTGTATGAGTTCTAGGTGGTGCTCCTGCGCAAGCTCTGAGAGCCTTTTTTTGCTGTTTAAAAAGACAATGGATTTTTTTAGTTTCAGAACTTGCACAGGGGCAACAATAAACAAACTTGTCGGTAGTTGTGGCCCATGCAATATTGCAATAGGATAGGTAAGGTTAAAAATGAGGGTGTTGTAAAGGGAAAACAAAATATTTGGTGGAAAAGTGTGTCGTAATTTAGTTAACATTCCAATATTTCGTGAGACAGTTTTATTTATGGTGGCAATGTGCGGTTTCCAACTTAATTCAGAGTCAATTGTCATCCCAAGAAATTTCAGACTATCAGTTTTTTAATTGGGTGTCCATCAATTGTTATATCAGCAGAGAGATTATTGCTTTTTTACTATTTTTAAAGTAGATATAGTTCGTTTTTGATATATTGAGCGATAATCTGTTTGCTTTAAACCAGAGAGAGACTTTTTTAAATTCGTCATTGATTGTTGTTAAGAGTGTGTGGATATTTTCATGGGAAAAAGAATGTTAGTATCGTCTGCAAATAAAATGAAGTTAAATAACTTTGAAACATTAGGTAGATCATTTACATAAATTAGAAAGAACATGGAACCAAGGATTGATTCTTGATCCTTGTGGGATACCGCACATCACACGCATTGATTCAGAGGTTATTGAGTTTATTGAAGTATATTGACGGCTGTTGGATAGGTAATCCTTAATAAGATCAAGTGAAAGACCTCTGACACCATAATTACGCAATTTATTAAGCAAAATCTCATAATTTATGGTGTCAAAGGCCTTGGACAAATCTAAAAAAATACCAATTGTATGCTGTTTGTTTGATAGTGAGTTTGTTATTTTTTCGTAAAATTGGCGAAGTGCAAGATCAGTGGAACGTGCTGTGCGCAAACTATACTGGTTGTTATGCATTTGGAAAAAAAAGGATTCTAAACGAGTGTATAATAATTTTTCAAGTATTTTTGAAAAACATGGGAGTATTGCAATTGGCCTATAATTTGTTGTTTGTGCACATACTCCAAGTTTTTGCAGAGCAATGTAGGCCAGATTAAAGTTTTTTTTTTCTTCTGAGGTCAAAATTATGCTAAATTATGATACTTTTTTCTACATGCTACATGCTAAATGGGTCTCAATATGCCAAAAAGCATAATTATTCTAGGTCTGGTCACCATGTTGCTTGCTACCCTGATCACTGAGGCTGACACAAACTTGAAGATAGCGCATGCGCAAAATGATTATGAATAGTTTTAC